CTAATCGTTGCCACATGTTCTATTCAAATACTATAATAAATCTAAAATGATGTATAAAAGAAACTAAGCAAACAAACAAACAAAAAAAAAAAAGAAAGAAAGAAAGAAAGAAAGAAAGAAAGAAACAGTTTTCCACAGACGATTCAGTATTTCTCATTCGGTTAATTCAGTTCTCACTTCCCGACAAGGCAAAACTACATAAAAACTCAAAGTATCTCTATTAATAATTACGAAGTAAATCTTAAACACTTATTCCCTCGAATAAATTCCAGAATGGATTAAACATGATTTAATTCGCTAAAGGTGTTATCTTTGTTGTTGCAAGGCTTAGCTTGTCTAGATTGTCAACAAATCCGCTATTTTGCCAAGTTTAAAATATAAACAAACATGTCTGCCATCGCAAAATTAATTAGGCTTAGCTGCACTTAAACAACTTTTAAATTCTTGATAACTCCAAATATATTGCATGCAGATTTACTAAACATATAAAACCCTTAACCAAAAGATAAGAACAACATAATTGAATCATTCATCATTCAGCAAAAAATGCACAACTTTCAAACATATAAGAGTAAAGAAACAGAGATCACTGAACCGGTTAACAGAGTGGATATATATATACATACAATTTATATATGTTTGGTGCAGGCGATTGCAACCAAAATACGAGGTGCACATCTACATGTTATAGAAGTCCTATATAGAAAATTTCAACGTTCTGAAGCTACTTGTTTTTGAGTTATGTGAGATACGTACATACAAACGCCATGAAAAATTATCTTCAGAATTCATTTTAAATACGTTTTATAATTTTTTGGGTGGAAGAGAGTCTTTTATTCTGTCCTTACGTACAGTTGTCATGCAAAAACCTAATTAAATTGCACTCGATACTGGTCAAGGAAATTTTCGTTGAAATATGATGCCTGAAAATTTTTGCGATTACAATACTTCCTTTTTACTTCGTACAAGGAAGTAAAAAGGATGATATACACATGACATGTAACATAATAAATGTACTGGCCTAAAATTTTTTAGAATTTACTAAGAAAGTTTCTAATGTAAAAAGTGTCAGTTATTTTTTGTATGAATGCTTACAAAATATTATCATTTGAAACAAAAATTTATATTTATAATAACTTTGTGAGACAGACATAAAGTATAATGCATTTATCTATGGAAAAGGGAGGAGCACTTTATAGCTATTAACCATTCACACAGATTACTTCCTACAGTACTCATCTCTTGACACATTCAAGGAGCATCTGGGTGCTTCAAAGAAATCAATTCTCAGAATATAGTGGTACTTTTCCATTATGTCGGCGCAGGTGATAAAGTCACCAATAATGGTACAACTAATGCCAAACGGAATATCCTCGCTGGTAACCTTTTACGCCTCATTTTCAAAACAAGTCGCAGCCATTACTTATAAGATTGATTGGTTCTTTCAATACTATCATACAGTTACATAGAAATTTTACCAGATAGTACAATTTTATGCCACAAGTCCATTCGCTGTAAGTAAGTAAATTAGAATGCAATCCCACCGCTCACCCAAAGGTGAAAATACAGAAAACGCAAAGTCAAGGGTTAAATTCATCAATTTTAATGAGAATACACTAGCGAAATAAAGCACTGCGGTTTTACATAATTTCTGAGTAGCTATTCATATGAATTGAAATAATTCTTGCATTTAAACTTGTATTCCAAATTAAGATTTAACTTGAACTGAGAGAATTATATTTTTGTAGCGTAGTTTAGGTGCAATAAGATTACTTGGAGATCACGTGATATGAACCGGGGAATCAGCTTGTTGAACAATGAAAGCATAATAAATTCTTAAATTCATGTCTTTTTACAAATTTATTGGCTTTTTACAAAATTTTAAATGATATTAAAATGTTTATGCCTTCAAAGTAAAAAATTCTTAGAATTAACATTTGTTAAAATTTTTTATATGTATACTGTATGTTGTCGCCAATAAAGTCTGCTTGGCGAGAATTGCGCAGGTGAAACGGAAAAGTTCCAACATAGTGTTACGAAATGTACAGGCGCGGCGCGGTGAGATAGCTTTCCCGCAAAGCAGTTTTAGGGTTGCCATAAAATGGCAAGGAAAGGCAGGGTAGCTGCATTTGGCGAGAAATCACACATTTGGCGACAAAACTGGCAATATACCATCGACGGATGGAGAACCTTCTGGGATGAATTCTTACCGAAGTTGAACTGGAAGACAGTAATAATATTGTTTGTAAAGATGAAGAGATCAAAGCCGGACTGAAGGAGATCAAAGCCTTATCAGAAAAGAAAAACGCAACAATATTTTTCATTAGTTTTCTAAATTTCTGAAATGAATGTTCTTATAAAAACTGCCCTTTAACACATTGACTGCCAGTCTCTAGAGATAGGGGTTGATAGTTATTGCCTTGACATCGAAGTAGATTGTACCCAGAAGCCAACATACTAATTATTGGAAATATGATTTAAATTATTAATGAAATATGATTATTTTATATCTAAGTATTATTTAAGCATTTCCATATGGAATTTCTTAACTACGCGCCAGCACGTGATTGGCACTGCACAACAATTTTTTTCCCAAATGCCACATTACGCGCTGGCGCGTGATTTGCAAAAAGTCAATCAAAATAAGTAAAATAAGTGACAGTATGCATTATTTTTATATAAATCTCTATTACAAACCATATATATTACAAATGAATTTATTACATGATAATTATAATGGTATTATTAATAAACTTACATTTTAGAGTGTTATTTGTGTGTAATCTTAGAACAATCTAGGCAGTATCCGGGAGATCCTTCACAAACTTTGCACACATATATGGTACCTTTTCGTTTTCCTTCCGAATAACAGCTTTTACACTGCTTTCGCAGTATTTTTCCACCTTTTTTCTCTTCCCGGGTTTTTAGTACATGCTCCGATTCAGATGGATGACACACAGAAGCACGATGAACAGATGGCTGTTTCAATAAGCATCTTATCACGGATAGACGATAGTCATAAAGTGACATATTTCTATTGGAATACTTGTTGTAGATAAAGTGGGAATTGGACATCATTATTTGCAAAATATGCACAAAAATTTTCGTGGGACCACCTAATCGTTTTTTGTTTTTCTTTCACAAGGATAATAAGCAAGCATCTGGTCTTGCTTATCAATACCTGCCATAAATTTATTAAACTGAATTACAGGTAGTGGTTTTGTTTTAACTTCACCTCTTTTGTTTGTTTTTTCCACCATATCATTTTTATATTCATTGGAAATACAAGTGACGTTTCTCTTATCCTTCCACTTAGCAATCATCACACCATTAGTATATTTTGCTACAGTTTGCCCTTTCTTCAGTTTTTTTTCTTTTACCTCTTTCGGAAATGTCTTCCTGTTGTTTCTAATTGTCCCATTACAATGAGTTTTTCTATCAGAAAGACATTTTGCCAGTTCATAGCTGTTATAATAATTGTCCATAAATACGCTATGCCCTACATCCAACATTCCCTCAAGTAAATTCATTACGACTTTCTGTGCATGTCCTTTTCCACCAGAATCATCCAACATACCTGTATATACCATAAATTTGAGAACCATACCATCAGGGGTTGTGATCATGTACAGCTTACCATATTTGTGACGTTTATTTGGTATATACTGTCTAAATATAAGTCGTCCACGCCATAATACCATCGACTCATCTAAACTAATCTCTCGTCCTGGGTAATATATTTCAGATACTCGTGCGTTGAACAAATTTACCATACTTCTTATTTTATATAATCGATCCTTTGGAATTTCTGTATTCTGCTCTGGAATTTTTGCGAAGTGCAATGCCCTCAGTAATAATAAAAACCGATTCCTGCTCATGTTTTCGGAAAAATCATGTAAACCAAACAGTGAATCGGTTTTCCAATAATCTTGTATGCAGTTGATTCGTATAGTTCCCATATGTAAGATCAATCCCACAAATGTCAAAAGTTCCTCTTTTGTAGTGTCTTTCCAGGCATTGATTCGTGAATGATATACTGTGAAAAAGTACTTTATGAGCATAATCATTAGTTTCAGCAACTACTTCCTCCAAGATACCGTCGGTGAAAAAATGCCGAAAGTAATCTGTAGGATTGTTACCTGAAACAGTTTGGAGCAAACTCGGATTTTATGAAAGAAAACTGCTTCATGGATGTTGAATCGTTTTCCCAAGTTAAATTTTCCATTATAGCGGAATTATCGCGCTGACATGTTGCACCTTGAACGATTTGTTCATCATCTTCATCTTCAGAATCCGAAATATCATGGTCATCATTGGGAGGAATGAATTCTTCGTCACTGTCACTGTCGTAGCCGTCGTAACTATAATCACTCGGGTACTCGTCCGATAACTCAGCCAACAAATTTGCAATTTCATCATCCGTTAAATTCTGATTATTTTGAACTTTTCTTTTTTGGGGGTGCGAAGGCCCTGCACAATTGTCATCTGTATAACTCATATCACAAGATTATTTTTTCAATCAAAAATTAAATATTAAATTCGAAACCACGATTATTTACAGATAGTTTCTAATCATAACTAATGCCAATACCAGCAGAAATACCCTGAAAGCAATGCCAAATGAACTAGAGAATGAATAATCAGAAGTGGATTTTCCCGCGCCAGCGCGTGACTGGCTACTGAGACATCACCCCACATAACGAGCTGGCGCGTGATTGGCTTTTCGGCGATAGCGCCACGCCACGCGCAAGCGCGTGATAAGCAGTCAATGTGTTAAACCAAAATTTTACTTAAGAAAACACAGCAGGCACCAGGTTTGGAGAGTCTGGGGAATGATTAAGAACAGTCAAATTTTTTATTGATGCCAAATGGCCTCATAACAGGTAAGAAAATAAATAATCAATAGTTTGAGCATAAATTAAATCAGACAGCATAAATTTAAATTAGTTATGCAAAAAGTTATTATTAACCTTCTAGCAAACATAATATAAAATATTTACCTAACAGTAAAAGTTTAAGTTCTCGCCGAGCATCCCGCTTATCTTTCCTCAGCTGTTTCTCAATCTCTTGGTTAATACGTTTTTGTTCTTTCGCTTCATCGCTCATGCAACAAGCCATCATTGGGCTTGAAAATATTTAGGTATTGGATGCAATCTAAAATAAAACAAAGTTAATAAGATACAAATGATATTATGAAACAAATATGAAAAATCTTGTGTAAGAAAAAGATGTGTATAATTTTTCATACAAATTTCTTTTGAATACCATTAAAGACAAACAATTAATTAAAAGAAAATACCTGAAATTTTAATGACTTTTATCCTCCAAATTCCATTCTGTCGGAGAATATTCCTGTGGAATTTCTCTAACATTATTAATATTCAATTTAGGATTCATAGAATTTGTCTTTTTTCATAAGAAATAGAATGTCAACACAGATATTCAGATTTCCATGCAGATTCCAGGAGACATTCAATTAATGTTAAAACAGTTGAGTATATTGTTAAAATGAAAATAAACGGACTGTTAAAGTATGACAATGAATAAAGCAATTTGGACTTCTGATGTCATCCTGCTAGCTTCAATCCATCTATGATAACAGACACTTCTTTTTCACCATCTTGAAAGTGATTTATTTGCTACTGCACATCAGCCAATAAATAGTACATACAAATCTACATCAATAGCTCCGATATGTATTTCTTTTTACTTAGAAAAATTTAATTTAAACATCGTATGCAACAAAAGCACTTTTACCTCTAACATTATTCTGTTACAGAAAACAATACAAAGAATTTAGTTTTGTAGTTAAAAAATTAGTAACAAAATAACATTGAATTTGGCTTAGATTTATGAACAAGATCTCAATCAATTTCAAGGGCTAACAGGTACAGGTTCCTCTTTAGCAGGAGTAAAGAAATCTCCAAGACTGGAAAGCAGTGGGCCTAATGGTCATATTTATACCCCACAGTAAAGTGAATGAGAAGGTAGTGCCATCTATCAGAAAAAATATTATCAAAATTAAGTTAATAGAATTTTAAAAGCATTGGGAAGGACTGGAATGGTCATTAACTAAACAAGATAAATCTTTGTGAAACATTTCACATTCTTTTCACATTCGCAAAGATTATCTTGTTTAGTTGATGACTAACTTGTTTAGTCCAATCCAGTCCTTTCTAATGCTTTTAACATTCTATTAACTTATTTTTTTTAATATTTTTGATGATAGATTGAACTACCTTCTCATTCACTTTACTGTGGAGTATAAATTCGCCCAGTGCTTTCCAGTCTTGAAGATTTTTTTACTCCTGATGAAAAGGAACCTGTACCTTTTTGTCCTTCAAATCGATCGAGATCTAGTACATAAATCTACGTCAAACTCAAGGTTGTTGTGTTACTAATTTTATGTTTCACTTGGCATGTTTCTCTTCTGTTTCCATTTTTGTAGTTATATCAAGTCCAAGGCATTAGCTGCTTTCCTTTCTTGCATTTATGTCTTATAAATAATTGAGTTAATAATTTTGATAAGTTTTCTATCTAAAACACATTATAGATTTAAAATTAGACAAAATTTAAATTTAGATTCACATCTGCTTTACAATTTTTTTATTATTAGAAAATTTTAAAATCAACATCAAGTTAATATTTAATTTTGCCTCATTTTAAAATAACATCGTATGTGCCTTAGAAGTTACACAGCTTCCCTGTTGACTTCATAGTAAAGGGAGCCAGCTGCCATAGTGTTAAGCTTGGACTTCAATTCTGGAGAAGGCACAAGAGTGTCTTTGCACAGGACTAAAGAGAAGGGCTAGCTCATAGAGCATTTCCCCCTGAACAGGCAGTGAGGAGTGATGACGTAGCAATGATGGCACTGAGCGCGGAGATGCAATTGACAACATAGAAATTAGCGTTTTAAATTTGAAGAATAAGCGTTTAAAATGAGCTGTGTGTGAAAGATAGCTATAATTTGGAAAAGACAATGTTACTGCAGTATGCATTTTACACTGAACATTAAAAAATTTAATAGTGCTTACTCAATTTTAAAATAATAGATAAAATGCACTACTCTTAGCATAAAGTTCCTTTTTTTTTTTATTTGCAGGGGGATTTTTTTTTCCCCCTTTAAATGCCTATTTGTTTCTAATCATTTCTTTATCTGCATGTTAACTAAGAGAACTGTACTACTGCAATCTAAGTTTGAGTTTCAGCCTAATTGTAAATTTTACATTAGCATATTTTTCTCCCGATTCATTATAATAACATATATTTTTTTTAAAATAATTTTGTAACTTAGGCTTACATCAATATTTCATTTAAATAAATACATGTAAGATTGTTATCTTAATTTAGACAAAACAATTTTATTCATAGTACCTAAAATAATTATTTAATTTTTCAAAAGTGGGGGTTAAGGGGGCAGGTCTTCTTATGCCAATTACTTTAATATTATACTTTATAAATATTTTATCTAGAATGCTAAGCTAGCACAAAATCGAATCAATAATAACAGAGGATACAATAAAAAATAACTGTAACAATAACTTAACAAAATTAGTTCTCATTTGAATATGCTTTACGCTATTAACTTCTAAAATGCAATCTAGAAATATTTCAAATCAAAACATATTATATATACTTTACTTTTTGTCTCTTGTTTCCCTTGACCATTAAATAATTTGGTTTAGTTGTGACACAATTTAATTCTCTTTATAATATAACATTTAAAACAGTTCCATCTTCTAAAACAAATCCTTTAGTAAAAAGTGGTTTCTCAGTAATTTGAGCCCACCAGAGGCCGAGCGGTAAAGTCGCTGAACACTGGTAGTTCGGTCCGAGGTTCGAATCCCGCGAACGGGCTGGCTGCATGGGCGTTTTCGTGGTTTTCCCCATGTGTAACGTGTATACGAGCCAGTTTCCCTTAGAAAGTCCTCCACGAAAGGCATCCCTCCCCTTAGGCAGATAGCCCTAGTGTGCTTTGTCATAATTAAATACACCAACACTCAGTAATTTGAGGCAGTGCGCTAAATCTGCAAAAACCCATATTTTTTTCGTTTGGAATACTGGATTTGGAAAATGAGAACTATTAATCGAAATCTGTAACTCTTTCCACAAAGTAGCAGATCCTCTTAAATCAGACACTATTGCTTTTACTTCTACTCTAGATGATTGAATATGTCTTATGAGTGAAAAAAGAAGTTCTTTCTTCATTGGAGTGTTAAAATCAAAAAATATTGGCTGTTTCCACTGCAAAATGAGACCTCTGATTAAAACAAACTGCACTTTTGGAAAAGGACCGAGAATTTGGTCCAGTTTGGAGTCATAGCAGAAGTTTAGAATCTATGTGCATTTCGTCGAAACTGAGAACGCATACTTTTTTCTACAGAATTCAAATATTCGCATCTTTCCTTCATTACAGCAAGAACATCACTCTGAATTCCTGGACTACATGAAAATTTAGCACACCATCTCCTTTAATGTGCTAGTGCTATAGGTAAAGGAATTCCCATTTTTCCTTTCCAAAAATCGTAACTTTTAGATGACAGAGCTCCTTATGACAATGCAACGTGAAATATCTTCACTAGTCCACCGGATTTTTTCCTTCTTTTCTAGCAATGCGTTAATCTGCGTCTTTGTAAAAATATGCTTTAGACGTTTTTCCAAATTCTCCGATCTGTTCTGTTTTTTTCCTAAATTTCGCTGTTTGGGATTTTAATTTCTGAATTTCCGATACAAATTTCTTTCTAAATGTCGTCCACCTTCTTTGTCGCTAAGCAAACATTCTAAAATCTTTCTTTTCTCTATTTTTCAATATTTTATTACAATTTTCTAAGGATATTATTTTGTTCTTCAAATTATCAATACATTCTTGTTTATCTTTACACTTAGGGCACTCAGGGATATTGTCACATAGGGCATTGTCACTTGTGAGTTTATTTTCAAAATCATTCACATTTGATTTATTATTGTCAGCTTCAATTTCGTTCTCAGCCTAAAAATAAATTTTCTTTGGGCTTAATTCATGTAGTCTTTCAAAAGCACTCTGCATTAGTTTTTTCAAATGTCTTCGATTTCTTGGTGTTATTTTGTTTACTGCACACGATAAATTTACTTTCGGCACAGCATTGCATTTCAACAGTTTCTTTTGCGGCAATCCAAGCAAGCGATTTCTCATGTCATCTTCATAATCACTGCACAGAAAATGTTTGCTGCAAATTCTTGCTTTTTTCACATTAATAGAATCCTGTCTTCGACATTTATGTATCCATTCTTTCGTCAAAAGCAAATTGTCCTTGGGGAAAGCATGAAATACAATATCTCTTCCTTTCGTATTTATAAGTGTTACGGCACGTTGCTTACAGCACAAGAAGCCATATTACATAAAGGATACTTTAAATATAGAATTTAAAAGGAAAACTGACTAAAACTATATATATGTACACACAAATTATTTTAAATATTTGCATTATTAGAAAACAAATATGTATGATTAAAATTAATTTGGGATATGCGATCTCCAGAAAATCGTCTCGCAACTGAATGAAACTACAGTTTTAAAGGCGCGAAATCAGAGCAGGTGCAACAGAGACACGTCAGATTCTCCCCCTCCATGAGGCTCGCGTCGGCGAGGAGTCGAACAAAGGAACGACCTAGCCCTTCTATTTATCCCTGGTCTTTGCAGCATGGAAATACCATTGATCAAAAGTCCTCTCAAGAGGTTGTTTAAAGAGGAAGAAGGAAAAGACAGCCTTGCATATGGAGAGTTCTTCAAAAGTAGGACAGAGCACAGTAAATTCATATCGTAGCTTAATTCATATCATAGCACAACAAACAACAGGTACAACTGCAGTGCTCTTGGCAAATTTGTAGCTTTGATTTGATGTTACTGACATACAAGTGAGATAAATCATAAAATTTACAGAAGCCTTTGAAAAAACATTTCTGATTTTAAAATTTCTGATGTTCCCTCCAGTGCAACGGCCGCACTACACATTGCCAGCTTAAATGGTCAGCGAGATACCCATCGTCGAATGCAGCTGATCTGAACGTCCTGTTTCGGGAAGGACTGTACCAGAAGATGTCTAAAAACTGGGAGGTAATGTTACTTAAATTTTCTTTTAGAGATGAGGACATTTGCAACCAGTGCCGACCCCCTA